TAATTAATATGTTGATATAGTGATTATTGTTATTATTACTTAATCATAGACAATTATATATCACTAAACAGCAGAAACAAAGAAGTATTCTATGAAAATATGAGGAATAAAAATCAGAGTAAGAGGACAGACATGTTGGTGTGGTGGTGGTGTTTTAGCAAGGGTGATCAGGGAAGGCCTCCCAAGGGAAGTGATATTTGCACAGAGACCTAAATGAAGTGATGGATTGAGCCTATCTGAGACTATCTGTGGAGAACTGTGTTATAGGCAGAGGGAAGAGCAAGATCAAAGCCAGTGTGAGCATGTTTGTTAAAAGATAGTGTGAACACTGCGTGTACAGAAACACACATGTGCTCAGGAAAACCCATTTGTGGCCTTTTTTCTTCATTTAAGTCACTGTTTAAAAGGGGCACCTCCCCGCTGCCACCATCACTGTTTCCTGGCCACTCCAGGTGGCTGCCCTGCTGCTGCCCCACAGCCCCTGTCTGCAAAACTTTGTGGGAAGAGGGAGCACATCATCCCTGTTGCAAAACTCAGTCTCTCAGAGCCATGCTGGCCCTGGAGCCCCTTCAGCACCAACCAGCTTTGGACTGACTTCTTGGTCGCTGCCTTCTCTCTGTGCCTGCATGAATACACACACATAAATACACACACATATACACATGCATGCACACAGATACACATGAGCACATGCACATTTGCATGCACACACACACACTCTCTCTCTCTCTCTCTCTCTCTCTCTCTCTCTCTCTCTCTCTCTGTCTCTCCCCCTCCCCATTGAGTTCCAGGACCCCTCCCAATCTGTATGTAGGCTGATTATAAACACCTTGCATGGAAGTCTGAAAGAACACTCATCTAATGCCAGGTTCCGGTAGTAGAACTTTGGGTAGTTTTCTAAATCTTCTTTTGCTTGTTTTTGTTTCAGTGTTTTATAGGAATACATGTACTTGGTTAAAAGAAATTCAGACAGTAAAAGATATTAAATTAAAAGAATTTTATATCCCCAACTTTTTGCCAAGTTCCCAGTCCCCCAGAGAATCACATTCAAACATTTCTGGGGGCTACCACTATACTCCTAAATAATATGTTTATCTTGCTATTTATTGATTAGTCTTTAAACTTTCATGAATACTTTACTTTTTCCTATCTCCTTACCTTCCCCTTGAAGTTTTATTAAAATTTTAATTATATGCTGGTGAACTCTGTGGCTTTAATAGCATATTGAAACCATTGTCTTTGGTATATATACCTTACACAGTCTGTCTTGACTGCATTCTATAAAATTTTGACTCCATTCTGCAAGATGGGAAAATTAGCATCTCTGAACTACCCTCATCATTCTATTTCTCTCTACATCCAGGTTTCTATCAGGCTATCAATGATTTTTAATTTTTCTTTCAGTAACAAATGCAAATATCTTGACAGTGTGCTCCTTTTATGCTTTATCTATAAATAGGGTGAAAATTAAACAGTTTCTAAATTATATAAATATTATTTTCTAGAGACCAAAGTCATGACTTAAAATTCATAAAGAGAGAAAAAAAAACTGTTATTCTTGGCTGTAACACTTGGGCTACTGGAAGAAAAATGGGTCATCATCTTTCTTCTTCCACTCAATTAGTTTATAGAATCTTAGAACTTTTAATTTGCTTCATAGATAGAGCATATATTCTTGACCTGTTTTTGGTTTTGGTTTTCCCAAAGTTTCTAATGGCTTTTCTTTACTCTTGTCGGCAAAAGAAAGTTGTGGCTCCTTCTTCACCACTTCTCTTCATCCATGTAGATTCTTAATTATATGCTTACTGAATGGCCCATTTGGGCCTACCTTCCAGATCTGCTGCACAATCCCAGGACTTCTCTTCACTGTACTCCTGGGACAGTTTCCTTCTTTTTAGAGTCCCAAGATCCTCTTTCTTGGATGGCTTTTGGTTGTCCTGGAATATACCTTGAGAATTTTCTTTTCCAGAAAGCAATCTTACATATCTGAAAATATCTTCATTTTGCCCTCTTGGGATGATGGTTTAGCTGAACACAGAAGTCTAAGTTCACATCATTTATTCTTAGAAAATCTATGCTATACTGTCTTCCAGCATTCATTGTTACTGATTAAAAATTTTAGCGTCTTTATTTTTGTCCATTTGCAAAATATTTTTTTCTGTCTGAAGCCCCTAAGTTCTCCTTATCTTTGAGGATCTGAATTTTCATGAAGATGTAGCAAGGTAGGTTTGTCTGCTTTATTTTGTTTTATGTTTCATTTATTGTTTGAGCAAATTGGTAGGCCCTCTTAACCTAAAGACTTTTCCCTTTCTTAGCTTGGGGAAATTTTCTTCTATCATGTCTTCGATTTTTTTCCCTCTCTTTCCTTTTCTGTTTTCTCCCTTTTCAGAATTCTGTTAGATGCTGAATCTCCTGAATTGATCCCCCATGTCTCTTTTCTTTCATTTATTCCATGTTTTTGCTTTCTTATTCTACATTCTAAAAAATTTATGTTTATTTTAACTTTTAGGTCTTCTATTAAATTTTTTATTGATCCTGTTTTCTATTTCCAATAAGTTGTTGCCTGTCTTCTACCTATATTTCACATCACCCTTGCCTGTTACATGGATGCAGTATCTTTTAAAATCATTATGGATAGTAATCAGAATTTGTTACTTTCAATACTCTGAGTTACCTTTCTTTGCCCTTTGTTAATTGTTGTTAGTTTATCTCAGCTCTTCTTTCTTAGGCCATTGTATTGTTGCAAATGCCTGGTGATTTCTGGTCATCTATTCATATTTTTGAACAAAGGACTTAGTTGGTGAATAAAGGTAGCCAACATGGGCCTCCTCTGCCATTGGGCAGGTAAGTATTCCCAAAAGGGGTTCAGGGCTGAAAGGTGAGGGTGCTTACTGAGAGCTCCAAGTTTGTGAGTTAGGCAGTCAATTGTCAGGCTTTGCTTTGGTGTACAGGGATGGCATCTGATGGCAGGCATGTAGGGGTTTCCCCAGTGCCAAACAATACAGGCTTCTGTATTAGTCCATTTGTGTTGCTAGGAAGTAATACCTGAGTCAGGGCAATTTATAAAGAAAAGAGGTTTATTTGGCTCATGATTCCGTAGGCAGTACAGGAAGGTGCCAGCCGTCGGCTTCTGGTCAAAACCTCAGGAACCTTTTACTTACAGCAGAAGGCGAGAGTAAAAAGGCTTCTGTGTGTCACATGGCAAGAGAAGGGAGCAAGAGAGAGGGAGGGTTGTCACACTCTTTTCAACAACCAGCTCTTTAGTGAACTAATAGAGTGAGAACTCACTCATTACCACAGGCAGGACACCAAGCCATTCATGAGGGATATGCCTCAAAAGCCCAAACACTTTCCACCAGGCCCACCTTCATTACTGGGGATCACATTTCAACATGAGATTTGCAACTGGGACAAATAGCCAAACTATATCAGCTTCGCTATATGGTGTTAATCTCCATACTGACGTCCTAAATCTAAAGTAGATTGTTCAGCTTCAGTAGAGAACCACTTTATCTTTTGGGCCTAAGACAAATTATCCTTGAACCAATTGCCCATTTGCTTGGGAGTAGGTCTAGGGGACCAGGAGGCCTCACTATTATCTACACAACCATTAAATTACCTGTCGGAGTACTGCCATAATCCAAACCTGCTCTCTGAATCGCCAACTCAAAATTTGGTCTTCCAGCTAGAGTCCAAGCTCTTCCATCTGTTCTGAAGGACACTGTTCTTTGTTATCTTTATGCTATCATTGTCAAAATCTCTGATTTTTGTCTCACCCCTATTCTTCCCTTGTATAGATTGTTTTTTACCTTTGGGTATCTTCTCACATTTCACTGGGTCTGGAAAATAAGAGCAACTAAATGTGGGCTTGTTCTTCCATCGAGCTGGAAGCCTTTATGTTCCTGCTGCTTTTCTGAATTTTCTAAAATAAGTGTGTCTTCTTATATTTATAATAAAAATGAGAAAAACAGCTGTTTTTTAAATGGAAAGGCTTTAGAGATTTGTTCTCAACTGGCATAAAAGAGAAGAATCTTGCATTTTGTTTTTTTGTTGTTTTTTTTTTTTTTTTTGAGATGTAGTCTCACTCTGTCTCCCAAGCTGGAGTACAGTGGCGCTGTCTTGGCTCACTGCAACCTCTGCCTACCAGGTTCATGCAATTCTCCACCTTAGCCTCCCAAGTAGCTGGGGGCGTGCACCACCATACCTGACCAGTTTTCATATTTTTAGTAGAGATGGGGTTTTGCCATGTTGGCCAGGCTGGTCTTAAACTCCTGACCTCAAGTGACCCACCTGCCTTGGCCTCCTAAAATGCTGAGATTACAGATGTGAGCCACAGTACCCAGCATGAACCTTACCCATGTATCAACCATTATAGCATTAACCTGGAAACTACTTTTCCACAGTACTTCAATCTGAATGAGGAAGAGGCTGAAGAGTTTTGCTGTCTTCCTTGTGCTTTTTATTTTTCCAAACTGAATTAGAAATATTTTTAATACAGTAAGAATATTAAATATAAAGCCTAATATTAAATGGCCAGAAACTTTGTGGTTTAAAATGGCAAACATTTATTGGCTTGTTCTTTGGAGTGACTCGGTGGATGGTTCTGCTGGTCACACCTAAGGTCACTCATGTGTCTCCAGTCAAACTCATGGCCGATGGCTTCTTTCACCTGTATGGGAGTTGGCTGGCTATTGGCTGGGCCAAGAGGGATGATAGGGCCAAGCGTGTCTCATCACACAACAGGCTAGCTTGGGCTCACTCATGTGGTAAAGGTTGTGGGATTCCCAAGAGCTGCAACAGAGGAAACTGCAGGGCTCAGGATTCACACATCACTTTCACCATTTTCCATGGTCAGAGAAAGTCACAGGACCAGCCCAGAATCAAGGGGTAGAGAAATAAACTTCACATCTTGATGGATGGAGCTGTGAAGCATTGTAGCAGTTTTGCAATTCGCCGTTTCATAATTCTAATTTTCTGTTGCCTATTTCTGTTTTCCTCAGGCTTCTGAGAGCCCAGTCTCTGGAATGGTTCTACAATAATGTGAAGAGCCGCTTCAAGCGCTTTGGCAGTGCCAAGGTTCTGAAGAACCTGTACAGGAAGCACCGGCTGGAGAGTGGCGTGTGCTTCGACATTCTAGGTACTCTCACTGCCTGCTGCTCTTGGAGTCTTTGGTGGGCTGGTGGGTAGAAGGCCTGGCTAGAGGCCCTGAACAGTGGAGCACACTAACCTGGGACAGAGAAATTTGCTTAAATATCTGGCACTAGTGAGAAGCAGAAATAGAAGGATGGATGCCAGAGACTCTGCTAAGTTTTGATTCTTTTGGTTCCCGCATCCCCACTGGGCTAGAGCTTACCAGTTAGAAGCTGTGAAGACCTAAGTACTTCTACATATTGTTACTATTTTAATCTCAGATCCAAAATTAGGTATTCTTGATCATCATCCCTTAATGATTAAAACATTGGAAAGTTATTTGCCCTTGGCTACAGAGAGACTACCTCTATGCCTGGCGGGCATGCCCTCCACCCCTCCACCTTCCGTTCTTACTCCAAAATTCTGTTCTTATGGCCCAGAAGATGATGTAATCGGAGAGTTAGAAAAGTGTCAGCTTCCTCCCTGGAAACTTGAAGGATGAATTTTACCTATGCTGTTTTTATACAGTTAAGACAACCAAGTTAATTGGAATGAGAAATTATATTCTTTAGTCCTGTTAGATCAGACAGTAGAAAAGAATGCTAGTCAGAATATGGACAACATGCCTTCCAAAAAGGCTGTTACTTTCTATCTAGTGGCAGTTATTTTTTTTCATCACTTGGCTAACACAGGTAAATGCTTTCTATCCATGAGAAACAGGGAAGGAAAAAAAAAACAACTCATCCATCTTACTGGGGGCCTCTTCACCATCATTATTTTTCATTGTTGTTTTCTCAATAAAGTCTTTTGTTGCGTCTTATCTAAAAATATGCCAGCCACTTAGAAAACGGGGAAAATAGAATGGAAACACTAAACAAACATTAAACATGGAAAATCATTGGGGCATTCTGTTGTCATTAGAATCTCTGTCTCTCAAACCGCCCGGGAAAGCTATAGCTAAGAGAGGAGTGCTGAAGTTTTCCACATATTATGTTTATCACCATTTCACCAATTTTTCTAAAAGCTCTTTCTGCAGAAATGGAGGCAAAAAAGAAATAAAGCTTAAAAATCATACTGTTAGCAGCTTTTCAACCCAGAAACATATCTCAAGAAGGTTCACGAATAGAATCGGCTCACTCATTTGCATCCCATCCTCTTTTCCTCTCTTGTACAACCTCAGGTGTGCTGTATGTGCCTCTTTAAATATCACCAAATTCAGATCTTATAGATGTTCTTTACTACTTAATGCACATTGAGGAATAAAGCAAACATGTGGAAAACCCTGTAGAATAGAGCAGAATTTTTATTTCTTTCCCTTTCTCTCTAAGTCTCCACAAGTGGAGAAAGCAGGCACGAATCCCAAGTGGGGTAGTGCAGGGCTTTGACATTTACAAGGATTACTTTCAAAGGAGAATTCTTTGCTAGGAATAAATACCTGCCCTGATTGAAGCAGCTTTAGGTTCTAGGCCCTCTGTGATTCAGCACTTCATTCATCTGAGCCTCAATCACAGCACTTACCACGTATCACATTGCATTCAGGATTACACAGCTGCCTCTCCTGCCAGACCGTTATATGCGGGTGGTAGCTTATTTATCTGTGTTCTCAAAGTGTGGCTCAAGGCCTGGAATGTCTTATATCCTCATTATTGCACTAGTTCAGTCTTAAAAGCATTTTATGGGGCCAGGCATGGTGGCTCACACATGGAATCCCAATACTTTGGGAGGCTGAGTCAGGAGGATCACTTGAGACCAGGAGTTCGAGACCAGCCTGGGCAACACAGCACAATCCTGTCTCTAGAAAAAAAAAAAAATTAAATTAGCCAGATGTGGTGACATGCACCTATCCTTTGAGCTACTTGGGAGACTGAGATGGGAAGATCCCTTGAGTCCAGGAGGTTGAGGCTGCAGTGAGCCATGATTGTGCCACTGCACTTTAGCCTGGGTGACAGAGCAAGACCCTGTCCAAAAAAGATTTATGGATACCAAGACACTTCACAGAAATATGAGAATCTGTTGCTTTCACATTATTTGTGTCTCCATTTAAGTCAAGATTTCTTTTGGAGAAACATGAAGAAAAGCAGATAGGGGACAGTTGATGAGATGGTACTCAAACATATAAAGCCATGGTCGTAAAACCACGAGATCTATTCTACAAGCTACATGGGAAATTCAGTTACACTTCACGTATGGAGAAATCGTCCAGGGCCTCAGTGGCCTCCTGGCTGTGTGAGATGACTCAAGAGCCATTCTTTTGCCTGTCACCTCATACCCTTTGTAGGTTTGTCATCTGCCATCCTCCATTCGTGACTACACATTAGAATTGCCGAGGGCATTTTGAAAAAACCTCCCAATACCCCAAATCATTGTCCACCACCCCCCATTAATTACCACTGAATCTCTCTGGAGGTGGGATCCAGTATACATATATATATATATATATATATATATATATAATTTTAAAACTGCCTGTATTATTCCAAGGTACTGCCAAGACTGAGAGCAAGAGCCTCAGCTAGAACTCAGAGTAATTAGTTCAGCAGTGTTCTTACAACTTTATCTAATGGTACTTATTTTCAGAATTTTGACTGTCAGAACATGATATGCAAAATCTGCAGTGCACAAGGCATGTGCTGTGCTCTAGGACTCTCAGTGTAAAACTCCTTTCACCTACAAAACATCTTCACTACGTGGACCACTGTGGTTTGCCGTAAAAGCACTCAGTTCACAGAAGATTCCTTCAATCCAGAGTCTCACATATCACCCATCACATACGCACCTTGTAGTGCCATCAGTTGCTCAGCAGTGCTCCCTAGCTAACCTTACTCCTTCTCCTGCAGCTCACAGCAGGTGACCAGATTAGGCCACAAAGAAGACTCAATAGTTTTATCAGATAAACCTAAGATGTATTGAACACCTACTTATGTGCCCATCTGGCTTGAGTTGTGGGTTGATGAAATGAGTAAGACCCTGCCATTTCTCAGAGCCAGAACTCTAGTGGGGAAAATCATGCTCACGTGGCTTCTCTGATAGACCCAGCATACATTTTTTAAAATTTTATTTTAAGTTCCAGGTTGCATCTGCAGGATATGCAAGTTTATTACATAAGAAAATGTGTGCCATGGTGGTTTCCTGTACCTGTCAACCCATCACCTAGGTATTAAGCCCCACATGGATTAGCTATTTATCCTGATGCTCTCCCTCTCCCTGCCCCCGTAACAGGCTCCAGTATGCATTCTTCCCACTGCTGTGTCCATGTGTTCTCATTCTTCTGCTCCCACTTATAAGTAAGAACACAGCATGACATTTTTAACAGTTATCCTAAAAGAAGTACTACATAAAAAATGTACAAGTTGCCGTTATTAATACACTTAGTCTTCAGACAATTGGATAAAGAATATGTGCTTTTATTTAGTAGTGTTAAATAAATGGGAAAAATAAACCTTGCTTTTATTAATCTATATCTAATTTTGACATGATTCTTGAAAAGGTCTATTGCTTCATCTGGGATTTGATGGACAAATGTGGTCTTTTAAAAATGCTGAGCCATGTGAAATTAGAGTTTCCGCCAACTCTTGAAAACTAGTGGTTTCATGTCATCTGGATGCTTAGCCCATGCTTTTCAGAACAATTCAGTCCCTTTCTGCCCTTGAAAAAAAATCACATCATCCTGAATGACACTGACGCCCCCCCCCCCCCCGCCCCCGAATTTAAAAGGGAAACAGAGGTGTTTTACTAGAAGATTTAAAGTCATGCAAAACCAGGGCTTGTCCTCTGGTGAGGTCAGTCTCCCAAAGACCTTTTCTTGTCTCCCCTCTCCTCATGTTTCTCACAACCCTCCCCATCCTCTCAGCAGGCAACCTCAAATCCTCCTTCCCATGGCCAACAGGGCATGCCAGGCAGGGACCTGCCCCTGCGTGCAGCTGCAATGGGGGCACCATCTCCCTTCTCTGTTGCCTATCCCTCCTCTTGGTCTTGCATCTTATCCCTCTTACCTTCCAGGAAAGTCTCAAGGTCACTTCTTGCTCATTCAATCTCTGTCTTTACTGAGATTTGTAAACACTCCTGTTTTCTAAACCCCTCCCTGACTGTCCTGCCATCTTCTTTTCCATCACAGGTAAACTTGAGAAAGTGAGCTGCATTCAGGGCTTCCATTGCCTGCCCTTCCTAACTACACACTCACCTTTGCCCCGTTTCAAGCTGTTCTCTACCCAGCAGCCACAGTACACTTTTAGAGGCACAGATCTTACCAGGTCATCTCTGTGAAACCTTTAAGGGCTTCACGTGGCTTTGGGATGAAGATCCAAACACTGATGTGGCCACCATGACCTGCATGGCTTGTGTCCCCAAGTCACCTCACCAGAGCTACTTTTTGTGTCTGCAGCCCTGCCATGCTGCCTCTCATTTAGGCCTTCAGACATACCCTTTCTTCCAGAACCAGTCTGCAAGGTGCTTGCTATGCCCTGCATGTTCTCCCACTCCATACACCTGTTGGCTGATGCTTCACTGCCTCGGTCCATCTTTCCTGATGAACAGCTTCACTGTGCTGTAGACCATCCCATCAAAGCACTTAACCTATCTCTAATTTTATATATATTTATATAAGCATTTGATTAATGAATTTCCCACATGGAACTCTATGCCTGTCAGAGTGGGGTGGTGGCAGGTTTAGCTTTGCTCATCAGTGTACCCTTAATGCCTGGGCTGAAGCCAGGCATCTACTGGTGCTCATGGACGATTTGCTGGATGAATGAATTAATTCTAGATGCAGCCATGCCAAGCCACACAACTAGTAATTTGCAGGTACAGGAATTGACCTCACATCTCTCAGACTTTAGTCTATTATTCTGTCATTGACTCCATATTGCCTGCAAAGAGAAGGTATGGGAAGAAAGTTGGGGTTGGCAGCAATGCTGCACCAAGAATCAGTATGAGAAGAAAAAAGCAATGGGTCAAAAATGTTAGCATTACTGTGGGACCTCATGAGTCCTAAACCTATTTTCAAGGTTAACAATTCAAGTGTGTAATAGTGGTCTGTCAGTTCAGTGGCACAGTGCGTCAGTATTCACTGAAGACCTTTGACAATCATATTCATTCTCTTCTCCCATCTCTACCCTGCCAGGAGGAAGCCTTTTTGAGTCAAACCTGGAGAATGAAGGAAGCATTTCTGGCAGTGATTCAACATTTTATAGGCAGTCAGAAGGTAAAGTTGCTTAAAAGTTTACAGCTACTGGGAAGTTGGAGGAATAGAAACACCTACAGGTATAGGCACTGCCAGGGATCCCCAGCTGCATTGTTACCCCAGATGCAACTATCTACTACTATGTGTGAGTCTCCCTAGGTCACTTATTAGTGCCAGTGTATGAATCCATCGTGAAAATAGGTTAGTATATCCAAAGTGTGGCCAAGAGAACAGCATTCATTACCCAACCATGGATACTTTACAGTCAACTAGTAAATATTCTTCTGGAGTTGGAACATATCAATCCACTCACTTGTGCATCTCATATTAAAATATTCCTGTAAAGAATGTATCATTTACTGATTAACTTCTACTTTTTTATACCAATATAATTGTCCTCTTAGAGCAGTGGTTAAAAGTAAAACCAACTTCTAATTTCAAATAAAACTTTATCCATCACTTCAGTTCTTTCTCTGAAGTACTGGACATTGATAATCAGTGCTCCCTGAATTGTCTTCCTCCTGCAACCGCCACAGCTCATCTGCACCCTCTATTCTCTCTTTGGGAACTATGATAGTTAATTTTATGCATCAACTTGACTGGGCTAAGGGATGCCCAGATAGCTGGTGAACCTTTTTTCTGGGTGTTCCTGTGAAGATATTTCTGGAAGAAAATAGCATTTGAATCATAGACTGAGAAAAGAAGATCCACCCTCATCGGTGTGAGCAGGTGTCATCCAATCCATCGAAAGCCCAGATAGAACAAAAAGGCAGAGGAGGGGTGAATTTACTCTCCCTCTTCTGGAGCTGGGACATCCATCTTCACTTGCCCTCACACATCAGAGCTTCTGATTCTTGGGTCTTCGGACTCAGGACTTAAGCCAGCAGATCACCCCATTCCTCAGGCCTTCACACTTGGACTGAATTATACCACTGCTCTTACAGATCTCCAGCATATCTTGCACATAGCATATCATGGAACTTCTCGGCCTCTTTCATCACATGAGCCAATTCCCATAATAGATCTCCTATTTTATATCTATGTATATCCTCTTGGTTCAGTTTCTCTGAAGAACCGTAATACAGGTGCCTTCTCATGAAAAGTGTGTCCTCTATTATTTTTACTACCTGCAGCTTTTCCATAGGTTGCCACACACCATTGTATGACCTCAAGTGCACCTCCATTTGCTGTTGAGCCAGAAACGCCCAGCCTTGATTTCATCCCAGAGTTCTAGACTCAGATTTCTAATGCTTGGCCATTAGCACCTGAAGATTCTATAGGATTCTAAATCCCAGCTTGTCCTAGTCAAGCTCTTTAGGCACTTAGGTCCACCAGCAAGAGATATGTTTCCTTCAGTCTCTCTCCATTTCCTCCCAGCTACCTAAGTACCTGTTGGTCTGTTTTCAATCTTTCCCTTCTCTTTCCATTCTGCAGCCCATATCCTGCATACCTCTCTGCTTGAAACTCTCCAGTATTAGTGTTAATTTCAGTGACCATTTATATCAGCAAGGTTCTGCAGTACACTAAATATATGTTTGTACATGCACACACACACACACACACACACAGATCCCTTTTAAGGAATTGGCTCATGCAGTTGCAGGGGACAGGGTTGCAGGGGACTGGCAAGCCCAATACATACAGGGTAGGCCAGCAGGTTGAAAACTCAGGCAAGAGTTGGTGCTTTGGTCTTCAGGCTGAATTTTTCCCCTAGGAAACTTCAGTTTTTTGCTCTTAAGGCCTTTCAATGGATTGGATGAGACACACCCACATTGTGGGGCAACCCTTACATGAAGTCAACTGATTGTAGATGTTAACCACATGTAAAGAATACATTCACAGTAATACCTGGACTAGTGTTTGATTAAATAACTGGGTACTACAGCCTAGTCATGTTGACACATTGACCATCCTACCATCTTGCTGGTCTTCTGAACCTTGGCCACCTTGCCTTCTTAATCTTCCTCCACACCCTTGCCAGCCTTTCTCTCCGAAACACTGACCTGAGACTTCAGTTTTTACCCAGTGTACCACATCACTTTCATCCAAGAATTATAACCACGGCATCCAAAGCCTTTCTAGTTACAGCTCCAGGTGCCTGCCTCCCAGCGGTCCATGGAATTTGGTGACTGTCTCTATCACATGGATAGTTACGCATGCCTCTTAGTGGTTACTTTTGTGTCTAGTCTTCCAATAGCTCGGAAGGCACATGAGAGCATGGACTCAGCTTGTCCACTAGGTTATCACTGGGGCCATCACAGAGCCTAGCACACAAAAGGCACTCAGTAAACATTTTTTTGAGTCAATGAAAATGTGTAGACCTTTTCTTTGAAAAATACATTGGTGGCTATCTTCAAGAAGAGAGAAGGGAGATACAGTGTCTGCTACCAGGGAGCCCTTAGTGTGATGACAGCTTAGATCGTGTAGGCTCTACTTATCAAAACATTGGAAAGACTGCATGTTCAGTCAGCCACCTGGTGGCATGCAGAGCCTGGACTGGGCTGCCCTACATTACTCTATCATGACTGTCAAAGCTGGCTTGTGACATACTCATCAGCTAGCTAGATCACTTTGACCTTAAGTGGGTTGTTTAGAGACTTTATTATGTTTGCCAAATGATATTTTCTGTCTACATTTGTGTCCTTAAGGGTCTAAGAAGCTTGAATTACTTTTTTAATTGAGTGAGTAATTAAAGAATTGATGTATTCACACCCTGTCTCATTCCACAGAGCATTTTCAGCAGCTTACAAGAGATTTGCATGTGTTAAATAATATGAGTAGGAGATTATAAATGGAAACAGGAGGTTGAAATTGGGGAAAAGGAGACCCAGGCACCCAACCTTTGCTGACCTACATTCTTGCACATGATGTGACTTGGACTTCTGGGGCAAACTAAGAGTAGGATGATAGAAATTCTCATAAGTAAGAAGCTAAAATCTAGGATCTCAAGGGAAACAGAACTTTTCCCAGCAATTCGCTCCAAAAAGAACTTTGTCACCTGGGAAGTCCTTTACTTTCTCCCATTTGTTGCCATATCTTAAAAAAAATAGTGTTCACTAAAAATATGATAGTACTATATTTTTTAATCATGTTAGCTTGTATTCATCTCAATTTTGTGGTTAAAATGAGGGCTTTGGATTCAAAGGAATGGAATCCAAATTCAAAATCAAATTTGAAATCAAACTGGATTCAAATCTTAGCCTTCTTACTATCTTGCTGTGTAACCTTGGGTGAGTTATTTAACTACTCTGTGCTTCAAATTTACCAACTGTAAAACAGTACCTATATGGCACCTACTTACCACTGGATTTTTGTCAGAATTAATTGTGATCATGTATGTGAAACTCTTGCCCAGGGCCTGCCATGTGGCTGAGTTCTGTGAGGTTGGCCAGTGTTGTTAATATTGGTTGATAGTCTAAAAACATTATACATAGAGTATATATTTGCTTTAAGTCATATGCACAACCCAATTAGTATATTGAATAACATTTTCCCCATAATCACAATAATATATGTGCAAAATAAAGCATAATCTTTATCTGAGAAAGTGGATGAAGAACCATTATTTCTTTACAGTAAGCTCTTGTTTTCAGTCATCTTTAAGCCATTCTGTGTGATTAGACCAGTGCTTCATGTTAGTATACAACAATGAAGATGATCAATTCTTGCTCTCTGAAAATGACCTGTGGGAAAGGCCAGGGGCACGTAGCCTTTCTAGCTGATTAAAGCAAGCCCAGAACCTAGGACAGAACTCCAGCAAAGGGCAGGGCTAAAGGGATCTGAGGAGATTTATTAGAGGAGTAATTTTGGGCCAAGCCTTGGGGTCCGTGGGAACCAGCTCAGTTATAGAGCAGGAGACTAGGAGGGAGGGGGAATGAGATAACAAGTCTGAAGGAATCAAATAATTTGTTGCATCTGAGGCACGGGATGTGAATGATGCATGGAAGGCAGTAGTGATGCAGGTGGGAAAGGTCAGGGCTTTGTGTGCGATGGTAAGCAGCTTAGAACTTATCCCGGAGCCCCTGAAAAGTTTAAGCAGAAGAGCTTGACCCATCCTCTGACTCATCATTCCCTTTTAGAAATGCTTTGTTCTATTTCCTCCCTAGGACATAGTGTGATGGACACCTTGGCTGTGGCCCTCCGGGTGGCTGAAGAGGCCATTGAGGAAGCGATTTCCAAAGCAGAAGCGTATGGGGACAGCCTGGTAGGGCCCCTCCTGCTCCTCTCTGCCTGGGGAGGTGTGGGTCGGGGTCCTGGCTGCCAGGAGAAAGTGCAGGTTGTCAGGAAATCAATGTCCCAGCAGCCCTAACTAGAGCAGGGCCCAACCTCCCTCTGCTTTTGTGGTCGAGAGTCTCCTGGGAAAGTGACTGATTGCCAAGTCACTCCTAACCCACCCGCAACACACAGCTTTTCTCTTCCCTCTGCAGGACAAGCAGAACGAGGCCAGTTACCTGCGGGACCACAAGGAGGAGCTAACTGAGGAGCTGGCCACGACAATCCTGCAGAAGGTGGGTGGCCCCGGCAGCGGGAAGGCTGCAGTTTCCTGGCTGGGCCGGGAGCAGGGACTCTGGCAAGTAGCAGGTGAAACATGCGGAGTGTGTCTGGCACTGCACCTTCTGTGCCTTCTCACTTTAGCCTTTTGTGCCTTGGGGACCCACACAGAGGGAATGCATCGCACTGTGTTGCAGTCTCTCCTGCTAGCTCCGTGTCCTACACTATTCCTTGCAAACCAACAACCCCAAAACTCTGGCTTTTGAAAAGGACCTTTCTGTCTTCCATAGCCAATTCTCCAACACCAACTGAGAAGTGAAATTCCATTCTGATACTAACTTCTTCCTGGATTTAGTGCAGACCCCACAAGTTAAGAGCTTAGTCCCACAAGACTGCCCCCACCTCAGACTCTAGCCACAAGTTTCACATATCCCCAAGTCACCACACTTTTCCCTAGTCTGCCACAATTTCGGGAGTTTCCACGACCCTGGACTCTCAATTCAGTGATTTGCTAGAACTCACAGAACTCAGGAAAGTGCTTTATTTACCATTACCAGTTTAATATAAAGGTTACGGGTGCACAGCCACATGAAGAGACGCTTAGGGCAGTAGAGTCTGGGGACTGGGTGTACAGAGCTCCCACGCCCTCTCTGTGAATGCCCCTCCCCCAACACATCTATGCATGCACCAACCAGGAAGCTTTCTGTGCCTTGTTGCTTCGAGATTTTAGCCAGGTTTCACTATCTAGGCATGACTGATTAAATGAGTGATTACCTGACTGAACACACTCTCTAGTCTTTCTGCTCCCAGCCCTCTAATCATGTACTGTAGTTGGTTTTTCTGGCAACCAGCCCCCATCCTAAAGTTACCTAAGGGCCTCCCCTTGAATCACCTTGTTAGTGTAACAAAGACACTCCTATCACTCAAATAATTCCAAGGGTTTTTGAAACTCTGCCAGGAACTGGGGACAAAGACCAAATACAGATGCTCCTGAACTTACAGTGGATGGGATTAAGTCCAGATACTAACCCCATCCTAAGTTGAAAGTATCATAAGTCAAAATGCATTTAATACACCTAAACTACTCTTAATATGTCATAGCTTGGCCTAGCCTATCGTAAACATACTCACAACTTGCATTAGCCTATACCTGGGCAGAATCATCAAAAAAGCATATTTTATAATACTGTTTAACAGCTAATATAATTTATGGAATGCTGTACTGAATACATACCGCTTTCCCACCCCTTAAGTCAAGGACTATCTGAATATATGTTTTGTTGCACCACAATTTCTTTCTCGCTCATACGTCTGTAGTGGCTGCATTTCTGGCTGTGGGTTGGGACAAAGGCAGCTGCAGCATTTTCATTCTGGGGCCCAACTGAAGGCACATCAGCTGCATGTGGCCATGACAGGAGCACAAGCCAGCAAGAGGAAGCGCACACCGCCTATTAAGGCTGAGGCTTAGCCCTGGCATATGGTCACTGACTCCCTCCTCACATGTCATTGACCAGAGCAAGTCACACATCAAGCCCAAAGCCAAGGACGGGGAAGCAGATTCTCTCTATACCGGGAGGGTCTACAGAGTCACCCAACAAAGAGCCGTACGCAGGAAGTGTTGAAAAACTTCAGTCTTCCCTTTGGTCACAATAACTCACATCCCTTCCATATGTCAAGTAGACTCACCACACCCAAAGACCTTCATGTCTCATCCAATCACGGTTCAAAGTACATTTGATGCAGTTTCAGCTCCTTTTTAGCTGGAGATCTGTAAACAAAGCAAACAAATGACCTCCTCCCATATACTCCCATACAATGTTGGAAGAGAGACAGGGAGACAGCACTGGCCCCACCCACCTGCAGAGGAAAGACTGGGAGGGACTGGGGGTCACTGGTCCTCAGCAATTCTGAAATCCTGCTGGGCAATGTGGCTGGGTCCCCACCCTGCCGTGGGAGATGGCGCCTCAGTTCATTGTTCTCTGGGCTCTCAGACTTCCTTTTATCTGCCTGTCTGGCCTAAAGGAACATTGAAGAATATACCCATCTTGGTGGCTTAGCACAGTTCTTGGCTGCTTCCTAGAAACTGAATAGGAACTTGAGAGCCCAGAAGCCCTGGTACAGATGGACTCACTAGATCCAAATGGTTGTGCAGATGAGCTGGATCTGGAGCCATTCTTGATGACTCTTCATGTCTACCCCCTTGATAGGGCTTCCAGATGCCTCCTAAAGTCACAGCCAGAGGCTCCTGGTTTGAGATTCAGCGCCACCATTTATGAGCTGTGTGGCTGTAACTGATAACTTAGTCTCTGTGAGCCTGTTTCCTCATCTATAAAATGGAAAGAATTATACTATGTACCCTCTAGAATTAAGTGAGGTGAAGCATACGCAATACCTTATGAGGTCTGACACATGCTAGGCACTCAATAAATAGAAGAAACTGTTAACATCATGAAAGGATTGTTTGTAAACTGTGAAATGCTTAGAATGCTCAAGGCTATCGTTGTGCTGGTTTCTTATAAAGCAGGTCTGAAACAGCCTGGTGTTGTGTTGAAATTAATCTTGTAAGTGGCTGAAAAAATTCCAAAGATGGTCCCAGTTACTCCACATAGCATCAGGAGGCCTCTCCAATAACCTGCCCCATTTTCGTCCTCCGCTCCCCAGATTATACGAAAACAGAAGAGCAAAAGTGAGCAGCAAGTGGAAGAGGAGCCAGGATGGCCACATCCCCAGAGTTGCAGCACAAAGGTGGCAGATGAGGGGACCTTGGCATCCGCTGGAGGCCACCATGCTCCCACTGCCCTCTGGGTGAGTCCCCAAGAAGTACTGGCCTACCCTCCACACATGCAGGTCTGGAGCACACATTTAACCCTCTGTCATTGAGTCAGGTAGCCACTGGCCTGGGTAAAAATTTCAAAAGGATGGGGAGAGAAATTGAGAGAGAAAGTGAGTGTCAATGGGGGGCCAGGAGGGGTAAGAGAGGAGACAAAAACACAGTCTATTGATGATGACAGAGGTAAGTTTTACACAGACCAATTTAGGAAAAATACAAATGCTGATAGGCTTCATTTTTTTTATTCACTCTGAAAAGAATTGTACTAAGTCCAGTGGGGAAGTAGCTTTGTGAGGATCAGGTGTATTCTTAGCATCTAGATTGCTTGCTTTACTGAAACTGAAAAGCGGCAGTGAGAAAATTGCCACTGCTGTTTCAACCACCAAAATGGTCACATTTGGACACAGTCAAGAAGTCACAGTGTGGAGCCAACCTTTCTGTCTGTCACCTTGAGTTGGAGCTCAGTGGTCTTCCCACGGCCCAAGGGTTTGGTGCTGTTCCTGTCTGCAATAGAGTTCACTGATCCTGTAACATTCTTTGTTATTGGTTTGATTAAGCCCAGTTGAGGATATGCAAAGTGCTGGGGAAGGAGCCCGGTGGGGCAGGTTCCACAAGAAACCGAGGGACTGGCCAGTAGGGCTCTGGTTCTGCTTGATATAGGTACCCACAGTCTGAGACAGGGAAGCACACAGGTGCAGTTCAAAACTAGAAATCAGCCATGGGAAAGGCAAGACCAGGGGCTTACCACATCCCCGCTAGGGGTCTAGTGGCATTCATCCCTGCATGAGCGGATTAAAACAAGGGTGTGCAAACTAGCACATAGTAAACTTGCAGTCCACAAAGGATAAGCATAGGTCACCTACATAAACTCCCTCGTCCTCGCCAACCGCCAGATGCACAGGGTTACAAAGAGTATCTTTATGGCTTCATCAGAGATTAAACTTCATTGATTTATCGACAGAAGCTTTCCTTGTCAACATGCTGTCAGCTTGTTTTACTGCTGCTGTCATGCATGCACTCAGCACCAAGGAGAACAAAACAAGTAGAAGACTCCATGCCCACCCTCCAGAGGTTTATAATCTGGTTAGCAAGGCAGAAGGGGACACGGGTAAGGCTGGTAAAAAAAAAAAAAAAAAAAGAGGTAATGGGAGACAGTTCGTAACTGGGTGCTGAGTTGAAAGGTTGAGAATGAAAATGGATTAGGAATTCAGACCAGGGAGGGGCCTTTCCAGTAGGGAGTGGAAAAGTATCCTACCAGATGGAGCAGGGAAGCAGAAGTCCTTCAAAGAGCCTGTCACTCAGACTGGCCACAAAATCAGAGCTGCAGTTCCTGGGCTCACACTGCAGGCATGACATCACCTTGCATTTTGGGTCTTTCTGAAGTAATTTCTTCAAACTCAAAGTGTCAAGTCTTGGGGACCTCCAGAAAATAGAAATCCCCACAGCATCCAGACTCAACTATGAGTCAGTGAGTCAGAGGCAAGAACAGAGAGGTTGGGCTCTGTCTCTGCCACACCTGGGATAGGATTCTGGACTTGCCCTTGACTACTAGGTATGTAACCTTGAACAACGGTTTAGTTTCCTGTCCATAACATGGAGATCATAAGGCCTTCCCTAAAGTATGGCTCTGAAGATTCCTTGTGTGGCCAATATAGTCTTTATTGAGCTTCCCCTATGTGCAAGGGACTGTGCCAGGTGCTTGTATCAATTTGTTCTCACACTGCTAATTAAGACAAACCCAAGACTGGGTAATTTATAAAGGAAATAGGTTTGACTTACAGTTCCACATGGCTGGGGAGGCCACACAGTCATGGTGGAAAGTGAAGGAGGAGCAAAGTCATATCTTACATGGCAGCAGGAAAGAGAGCGTGTGCACAGGAACTCCCCTTTATAGAACCATCAGATCTCATGAGATTTATTCACTACCACGAGAACAGCATGGGAAAGATCCACCCCCGTGAATCAGTTATGTTCTACCAGGCCCCTCCTACAATATGAGGGAATTATGGGAGCCACAATTCAAGATGAGATTTGGGTGGGGACACAGCCAGACCATATCAGTGCTACAGAGATAGTGGTCTCTGCAGATACGGCAGACTCCACCATGTAATGGTGAAACATGCCATAAACAAGTAGATAACAACAACAAATGCAGGGGTACACATTTCAGTAATTGTCACCAAGAGGCTGGAGAGGAGGGAGTGCTGGGGAGAGGTAGATGCTTGGTTATGGAGATGTCAGGGAAAACCATTTTTAGGAGATGACATGAAACCAAGACCTGAAAGATGAGAGATCTGGAGCAGTGAGAGAGATGAGAGATCTGGAGCAGCACTCCTACAGAGGGAACGGCAGGCCTGGAGGCTTCAAGCAGGAAGGAACTTGGCATGTTCAAGAAATAGAATAGTGGTTATGTGGCTAGAAAATCAGATAAGGGGCACAGTGGCAACAGTGGCAGGTGACTAAATGAGATGCAGACATAGTTATTGCTCTATTATTACCGTATTTCTATGTTTTGAAATAAGGGTCACTGTATCCTCAAGGATAGAGTGAGTTATGAGTTATGAGCTGTACTTCACTGTGTTTTGGTCAGCTAGGCTCCAGGCCCAGAGAGCAGAGCTGTTGGCATGTCATGTACCTGCCTGCTCCAGTTCCCTGGCCACCTGCTGCCACCAGCCCAACCCCACTACGGGTCCTCACTAGTGCCCTCTCCCCTTCCTTCCCACACACAGCCAGATGGCATCACCTTGCTTCTCTTCCAAGACCTCAACTCACCCACTAGAACATTTCTGTCTACTCACTGCATCTTGGGGCTGTCTCATTCTTCTTTATCAGAAGCTGAAAACACTTCCTCTGCCCCTGTCTCATTTCCCGTTGCACTAAAGAGACCTCACTTTCCAGAAACAGACCTTTCCTGATTTTTCCTATTTGCATCAGCTGACTGCAGCTCTGCACAGTAACTAAAATTCTCATGTAAATCCCGTGAAGAGAGAGGCCTGGGGGTTGGGGGTGGGTCATCATAGAAAGCTTGAGTAGTTGTGTTAATAATGGAGTGATGGTCAAACATGTATAGTAATAACACAGGACCAATACCTCTTCTTTACATAAATTTTATATGCAAAGGGCTTTCACACAGTGTTTCCTTAGCTCCACATGAGAGCACCCTGTATTATCCCCATTTTACAAAGGAGTATACTGAGTCCAAGCTACTCCAAGCCAGTGGAACTAAGTGGATGCTGGACTGCAATGAAGGTCTCCTGGTTCTAAGCATTTCCTGCACTGGGAAGGTCCAGCGATGGAATGCCTGCTTCTCCACCAGATGGTCGCTGGATCTCCTTGTTGTGCATATGGTTAAAGCTGGAAATAGTGTCCCTCCCACCTCCTAGAGACCAGAGACGCTCTGTGTGTCATTAGAGATGTGGGACAGTGGGGTCTTGTACCGTAATCCAAAACGGTGGTCACAGCAGTGATGACAGCCAATAGTGTTCCTGTCCCAGCAGCAGGACAGCACTGGTGAAAGCAGCTGCACATAAACAACACGACCCTTCCCAAGGGGCATCTCCCGCTTACCACATCATCTCACTAGAACGAATTCAGTCCACCCAGGACACAGGCATGGCCACAGGCTGTTTTCACTGAGGAAGACAGTTAGAGGCACAAGCCAGAGTCTCACGGGATTTCCCTTTGGTTTACTAAAAGAAATACGTCTCAGGATTTTACTTGTTTTATCAGGAAAAAATCTGCCTTGCCAAACACCTGCCTCCTGCACAGCGTAACTCATGGCTATGATTTGACATCAATGTAAAGAGAACTTAAGCATTTATTACTTTTTTTGAAGCAAATAGTAGAATATGATTTATTTCTAGATTATTATATAAAAATAGGGTCTAATGGAAGCCCTTCCCTGAATGTAACATATATTTTGAATTTTCAAAAAGCAACACTTCACAAGATACGTCCACCTTCCCACAACTTGAATACACCTTTGTGGGAATGAGTTGAGAGAGAACCATGCGGCCATAGTTTGGGAAAGCCGCATCAAGGATGCTGACACATACCCTTGAGGGAGCACCTCTCCTGGCATATAAGTGTAACCACCCAGATCATACGCCTGGCAGGGGTGCAGGCACCTTACAGGAGGAACAAGGCCATCAGCTGGCTCTTTGTTACTGCAGCCTTCACCTTTATCTTAGACATTTGATCAAGGAGGTCCCCTCCTGCCCTCTCCCTGTGAGTTCACACCATCCCAGGATTTTCAATACGTAAACAAAATACTTTTGTCAAGAATATTAGGAAGGAAGAAGCATATGTTCTGTGTTCCCCCAATTTATACTTACACTCTTTGCTTGGGGGAGCTGTCCCAAGCAGAGAAGCCTGAATCTGAGAATAAAGAAAAATCTGTTATGCATCCAGCTAGGTCCCTGACACAACTTGTCCCTTTGAGAAACCACTATTTATGACTGTCAGTGGTCACGTGTGTTCTGGATTTTCCACAGCTCAGCACTGGGTGTGTAGTAGGCATCCTGCAGTACAGGTCCATGGCCAATTGATGGCAGAACAAGTCAATTAGTGGGGCTTTAATCGAGGCTAGACTTGAAACTTTCCCTTCAAACTTCCAGGATACCTGTGAAGGAGGAAAAGTGTACTGATTAAGGTCCCAGCAAAAACACTGGGATCCATACACTCATAAATGACCATTTTTAGCTCCTGACGTGGTTTAAAGACAAGCCCTGTGATTAGAGCTTTTTAAAAATGTTATCGAGACAGAGAACTTGCACCATCCCAGCTGTGGTAATAAGAATGCATTGAGTCTTGATTAGTTGGCTCGTTTAGAGAGGCCTATACCAAGTCCTAGCCTGAACACCACCAATGCTTGAAATGGTGAAATAGTTACTCATCTGTCCCCATTGGGCTTCAGCCATCTACATTTAACAGGGCAAGCTAAGGTCAACTACAGAGCCCACACCAGCCAGCCCAG